CTATGTAATTTCATGTTTGGATCAGTGAAGTTACCGTCTTAAAAACTGAAACCTTAAATAAAAGGGTAAGTTTTATGGAAGCAGCAGTTCTGGAGAACTGGAGGATGTGCTCTCTGGCCCAGTGTACCTCAGGGTGGGTGAGCGGCAGCTGTAGGAGCAGGAGGAGGGGCTGGGAGGAGGGTTTTTTCCCCCCCCCCCCCCCCGCCACTCAGCCACTTGCCAAAGGAAATCCCATTGTGCAATTGGTTGAACAGCACTGGTTACTGATCATCCAGTCCTGGTTGAAATCAGATTAATGACCTTGGAGAGAAGGGCCTTTATAATCTCTTAATAAGTAGTTTAAACTTTAACCAGCATTTCCATAGGTCTGGATTTAAACTCTGCAAAATCCATTTTAATATTAGGGGGAAAAGTAAGCATTCAAATTCTTGAAGTTGGTCCGGCAAATTCATTTAAATCCCTAAATCCAAGAGGGACTGGTAATTGCTGTTTCTTACAGCAATATCTTAATGATTTGTGATTACTTCCTTATAATCCTCTAATATGCTGCAGAAGCTGATGGGAAAATTGGAGAATTTTCAGATTAGGATTTATTTTTCTTTTCATTAATAAAGCTGTAGCTGTGACTCTGAAATTGGTTTCCTTTCCCTGGGAGAAAAAATAGTTACAAATGTGACAAATTTTGAAGCTGTGGGCTTTCTCCCATCTCTTTGACTCACCTCTCAACATTACGGATAGGGGAAGACAAGTATCACGACTTCAAAGATATTTTTTTGTGTCTCCCAGCCTGGTAACCTAGCCTCTGGCACTGTTATTTGTCTTCAAATAAAACAGCATCTAAATTATCCATGCTTCCCTGGCGCTGTGTGTTATTTTACGTTGGGATAAACTGAGTTCCCTCCATTCTATGCTGTGTTTTAGCAGTTCTCAGGCCAGGGTTGGGAAGGAAATCTTTTGGTGTTTCATCCACCATGTAACTGTAAATATAGTTGAATAATATAGAACCTGAAGAGCCTTTCAAGCTGTCTTAATATTGTTAGTGTCATTAAATACTTAAAAGAGGAGAAAAACAATTTACGTTCTCTTTTTTAATTAAAATTGCAATAGAGGGAACCAGAAATTTTGCTGTTCAGGGTCACAGCAAAACAAAACAAACCCCCACTTCCAAGCCTTGTCAAATGACAAAAGTGCATCTGTTCTTGTTGTACCTGAGAATTGACTGACTTCAGAAAGCTTAAGATGCTGAGGTCTCAGATGTTCTTTTATGTTAGAAGGATTGATTAGATACCTTAAATAGTTTTAAAGCAAAATCTAAGAATTCATGTCCTATCCTGTCATATATTTCTTATCCCTTGTCAAACGTTATTAAAGCTGTCTGCATAGCTGTCTTAAAATCTTTAAGATCTTTCTTAGAATCTGTTAACATCTTACTGCATTCAACCTGTCTGAGACCTCCTACCAGGTCTTATTTGATGTGCTGTGGGTTCCACTAGCTGTCTCAGACCTCCGACCCATGTTCCCTGTGTGTTTTCCCAGGGAAGGAAGGAAGGGGAGCACAGTGCAACTCCAGAGTACTTCCACTGCCATTAAACTTGACTGAGGGGTAATTCAGTTCAACCTGTGAATATTTGGTGGTTCCAGGAATGGCATTTGGCACCACTTTTGCCTACATAAATGGAAGGGGAGGAGGGTAGTTCTTTCTAGCTGAATCTGCACATGCACCACAGTGGTGGTTTGGCATTGTTCAGGTCCTCTTTCTGTAACAGTCCTGAAAATGTCATTTTCTTCAGCTGACTCTCGTACACGATGTAGATGGTATGTCTGAAGCAGCCAGAGAGGGCAGTCAGTTTTTTGCGTTGGCTCTCTTGGGTTTCCTGTGATGCTTGGGTGTTCACCTGATGCTGCAAGACAGGTCACAGCCTGGGCAAAACCATGCTGCACCTCATGACAATGCATGGAAGTTCTAGAATGCACTGCAGGAAGCTCTTGAAGCTCAGTCCAGTTCGTTTCACCTGTAGAGATCTGCCTGAAGGAGCTAAAACACGCCCGCTTGTGCATTGCAAAGATCTTTGTTCTGAACGGATTCTCCTAGGCTGTGAGCAGTTCCTCAGCCTGTTCACACACCTCTCAGTAACTTAACTCCAATGTCCTGTTTGCCAAATGTTCATCTGGGTGCTTCTGTAGTCAGGGTATCCCCACATCCACCTGGAAAACTCAGTGATCCTGTGAATCCCAAGGCAGCAGATCCCTTATGAAGAAGCCCCTATCAGGTCTGAGTTGTGTGCTGGTACCCTGCCTGGACAGACCGTTTCTGTGGTTGTGTCCCCCTTCCCGGGGGCAGTGTCAAAGCCCTTTAGAGCCAGCCCTCGCTGTCTAAGACAAAATGTTCCTTAGGCATTGGTACAAATTCTCAAATCCTAATTTCACTTAGGAGATGTCAGCTGTGCTTCCTGTAGGTCAAAAGACCCTTGTGTTCTGGTTTGGTTTTGTTGTGCTTCAGATGGAAACCATTCCGGAAGCTTTAATAAAAGTGAAGAGAGATTAGATGATGGGCTGCATTACAGTATGTTACGAGTCTGTCAGGCTGAACATCAGCCTTGCTGAATGCTTCTCACACCTCCTCAGGAAATGTTTTGTAACTTCCTTCGTGTGAGCATCAGGCTTTTTGGGAACAGTGCTGTATTCAGCAGGGCAGCACTGGGATTGCTGTTCCACCACAGGCTTCCGAAAGCTGCCTGTCAGTGATGGTGAGGTTTTAAGTTGCTGCCTGATCACCCCACTTCAGAATGGATACATCTGTTGTCACACAAAGATCAGGATGGTGTTGGAGGAAGATATTTATTGGTAATTCTCCATCATGTCTAGTACTGTCTGTTGCACTTTTTCAGCATGTCTTTTCTGAACACTGCTCTTTGGGATGAAGGGAACAAGCTATGGGAACACACTCTAAATACTTGGGCCTGCTCCTCCAAGAGAGGAGAGAGCAACATGCTCCATACAAACAGTAAGAGCAGAAGGTCTTGTTTTCTAATGGTTTTGACATATCTAAAGTTGGACTAGCTCTGTGGAACACTTTGCAGCTATCTCACAGATAAATGCTTTTTTCCCTCGAGCACAGGAAATACATACAATGCCATTTAGTTGTTCAGCCTCACTTGTGAGAATAACAGTCTGCTTTGGAACTAATCTGAAATGATATTTAGTGCAAGAAGATACGTGTGTTTCAGCTTACAAAATGGAGGGAGGAGTTGTCCTTACAGCTGAATTCTCCAGCTGCTCATTGTTTTTTTCTTTTCGACTGGGTGGTACGGTGCTAGAACCAGAAGCAGACACAAGCACCACAGTCACTTTTCTGTTCTGCCCTGTGTTCTGGAATCTGTGCAGCATACAGCAAGAATGCCACTGCGGGTGCCAAGGAATTAATGATCTGGAATAACCCTGCCGTGGGATGCCCTACTTTTACACCAGCAAGTTGTTGCTGCAGTTGTGTTGCTGCATCAAAGCTGAGTGTGACTAGGTCCTGGCTCAGTAATGCAGCTTGGAAAAGGAAGGTTCAGTAGAGCTCAAGATCATCCATATTTATTTTGGTGTAAATATTTAAGAAACCTTGAGGTAGAGGTTGAGCATTTCTTGCTTGTTTTGCTTTCAGAACACTGAAAGTGAGTTCATTCAAAGCAGGAGCTCATTGAGCACGTCTCTCTCCACGCACTCGTAGCTGCTGTAGTGGTCTGGGTGTGGACGCAGCTCAGACCCGGCTCAGGCCACCAGAACGGGCTGACAGCTCTCCACTGGCACCCTGCCCCCGGCACGACCAGCAGAGCCAGCTGGAACGCCAGGGCTCGCCAAGCAGCGCTCTGTTTGTTCTGCTGCTCGGCAGCTACTGCCCAGAGGAAGCCAGCCAGCGAGACCACACCATTGCAATGTCTGAGAATAAATTATCTGGATTTAACCCCAAATTAATATCCTTTGAATAGTCTCTTCCCAATTTCTTCACTGCAGTAGAAGTAGCTTGTCACCACGGTACAACAGGCATAGCACTTAATCTTGTCACTGCTCTGGAAAGAATGGTGTGTTTTAGTCATTTAGCGGCAGGAACCTGCCATCTGGCACACAAAGTATTTATGCAGAAACCTTGCTGTCCCACAGTGTGCTTTCCATAGCTGTCCTAAAGTCAAAACAGTCTTGAAATAACCTCCTTTTTAAACAGGGAAAGTTACAAGTGCTTAAACAAGACATAACATAGTCTTTGATATTCATTGCCAACATTTTCTTTAATTCCTTGCACAGTAGGCTGGAAATTGTGTTTTAATGCAGTCTAGTTTTTCACAATGACAACTTGATGTCCTCTTCTCCAGAGTAGCTGTTCCATAGGCATTCACAACTGTAATATTCAGTTACTGTTAAAAGTATATGAGAAAACCCACTGAGTTTTCTAACGGGGTTACAGAGCAGCCAGTCAATGGTCATGATGTCAGCTGGGAGGTTTTGATTCTAAGGAGAGAAAACAAAAACAAAACAAAACAAAATCATGGCACCCTAACTAGAAAGCAGAACCTCGCCATATGCAAGCTGTATGGATGTATATGTACGTGTTTTCATGCATGTCGTGCATGTTTCTTCCTTCCCTTTTCTATATTTCTTTGTTTTGCAATGGTTTTGCATTCCATTCATTTCCACACTCCTGGCTAGAACCCCAGAAAACCAAAAGTTAACTTAAAGGAACAAATTCAGGTGAAATGAGAAATGTTATTTTCCTAATAGAAGACTTCTCAACACATTACAGCAAGCTTTTGCCTTTGCAGTCCTTTACTTCTGGTAGGACATAAGCTACCAAGGCGCAGACTGTATTTACAGCTTCTTAGGTTACATGCTTCTCTTATGATTTCAAATGTGGAATCTAATCAGTCACGTAATATACAAGCTCCAGGAAGTACAGCTGTTCAGAGATTTGCACTCCGAGCCCACGCGCAGTTGTTTTCTGATGCAGTCGGGTACCTGTGCTAGTCCTTTTCGTACCATCGCCCGTACAGAGCAGCTGTCAGCAGGCCAGAAGATGTTCTATTTTTGCTTATGAAATAGTGGTTGTTTTTCCAGCCCATGTGATCAGCAAAGTCCAAGGTAATACCAGATGTCAGCAGTAAAGGGAAGATGTAAGGGGTACTCATATTTCCCCGTAGCTGGAACTCTATCAGAGCGGTGGCATCTGTAACCTCCTGCCCACAGGAGCTGAAGCTGAGGCCACGGCACTTGACCAGGGCGCAGGCCTGGACGTAGTACGTGCCGTGCACCGTGTGGAGCCCGTCGAACGCTCCCAGCGCATACAACTCCTCCGTCCCCACGGCCCTCTGGTAACTTAAGGAACAACAGAGGCTGCTGGCACAAACCTGCAGCTCTCCTTTTTCCCCCCATACAGGAACAAAAGTAAAGTTGTCATACATCATTTCTGCATAAAACAGGGGAGGTAACTGTTCGTGTCCTTTGTCTGATACTCTGCCAGGGATCTCTTCTCCCTCCTTAAAGCAAATTTGATCACCTGGTGAGGTGCTTGTAAAAGTCTTGCATGAGTGATGTAACTGCTCTCTGAATCCTTCATTGCTTTCCAAATTGGTTTTATAATCTGTGGTGATCACAGGAATTTCTGCTACTATGAGCTTGCCACCATAACTTTCCATGTCGTGGTAGATGAACGATTTGACTGGAGTGTATATGCCACTCCCTGTCATGCCCAAGGCAGGGTGGTGGATATTGGCTGCTAAAATATTGATATTGAAGGCTGTTGCAAAAGCTTGTTGAAATTCTACAGCAGCCAGGAGCGGGAGCTGGTTCATCCAGGCAGTTGGATACACAATTTGTTTCAAATTGTATTGTCTGATGAGGTTCACTGCAGGCTCAAAAAAGAGTATATCAAAGCAAGTGAACATACCGAACCTGCCAGCAAAAGGGGTATCAAAGAACGAGTAGTCGGGCTCTGGAGGGGTATCAAAAGCGTCCTCAAAGTAGAGGTTGTGTTTGCGGTACGTGGCCACCAGCAGCCCGTCGTCGCTGAAGGCCACGTTGGTGTTGAACTGGTACCTTCCATCAGATGGACAGCGAGGATCGCTGTGCTCGCAGGGCTGCTTGGTTCCCAAGTTGGCCACAAGGAATATTTTGTTTTTCAGTGCCATGCAGCTCAGACGCTGAAGAACCTGGAGAACAGTATGGGGAACTATAAGAACTTCAGAATATAGAGGAATATTTTATAATTAAGCAGCTATGACTTATTTAATACTTTTCAAATTATTATTCCAACTGGAAATTGAATGCATTTGACTATATCTGTAAAATTTAAAACTACTGATGATTTTGTGATGAAAGCTACTGGAACCAGTAGGTTTCTACACTGAGAAGTATTTCAGATATTAATGTCAAAATAGCACTGAAAAAAAATTATGTGGGTTTTATTTCCTGAGAAGTAAGTAAATAAAATCTTTCTATTTCAAGGGTGTCAATTTTCAGAAACTTCTAACTGTTGCAGGAGCACCAATGGCTTTAAAACACCATATGTCAGCTGGAAGTTTGACAAAGCAGCGTAACTGACCTGTGTGTGCTTTTGGAGCAGCAAATAATGACCAGTCTAATCATGATCATTTGCAGCTGTAATGGCTTGTTCCTGCAACTAGATGGCTTTACTCTTAAAAAAACAAAGTCATTACTAGCTACAGCTTGGAGAAGCAGAAATGTAAATGGATAGACTTTGCATAGTTACAGAAAACAGAAAAAAGTTGCAGACTACAGTGTTACTGGGATGTTTCCTCCGTGCCATGGAGAGCTGTACCAAAGACAGCCAGTGCTGCAATCTCCAGACAGGACCTGTGTGGTAAACCAAGTCCTTGCTTACCATGCCCACTGGTGGTAAAGATCAACGGGCCATAGCAGGTTACCGTTTAGGGCTGTGATTTGTGTTTGCACACTAGTTCTGCTGGGTAGGCGCGTGCGTCGTGACTTTCATTATACTGACTATTGTAAGGTTAGTAAGAACAAATAGTTTGTATTACTAAACACAGTTATTTTCCCTTTCGGTTCAGAATAGTCAATGAAAATATTGGATTTGTAACCTGCAGGTCACATCTTCTGTATTTACACTTGGTTTGTGTAAAAGATGTGGCTTCTATTACATTATAGCAGGTCAAGTCCTGTTACTTGTGCTCATCATTTTATGCACAACCGCCAAGTCAGAATGTTCTGGGAATAAATAAAAAATGAAGATACTGCTCTGTTGTTTCATATAAAACAATGTTGTTCACAATAAAATAGCACAAAATGTAATGAAGCCAGCATAAAATGAGAGTCATAGCAGCAGATTCTGTTTTCATAGAGTTGTTAAACTTCTTCCTTGCCTCCCTAAGCAAAACAACTAGAGCTAGTTTCCCCCTGGGAGCACAAATCTAGCACTCAGTTATTCCACCTCTCTGCAGCAATCACTCCTATGTTTACCTCTGTGTCATTGAACAAATGCGGCTCTCTGCACGGATTCCACTTCACAGAGCCTGAGTGCAGAACAAAATCTAAGTAAGGGTAAATGGAGCTTCTGCTGAAGTTGAAGCCATGGATTCCATCTTCAGGGAAAACAATCATCTGTGCCCCCTGTATGTAAAACAAATACAATTTTTGTGGGCAAAGCAAAACCAACCTAAACATGAAAGGAAAAAAAGGAATCTCATGTGTAAAAAGTTTGTTTTGATAAGAATGTAGTTGGATAATACCTTTTGACTTCGTAGTTCTACCTACATGTGTAAAAATAAGCTTACTTAACCTGATGCACACCTTTAGCTTGAAAAATAACCTACCTGACATTATATTAAGGGCATGCAAATAAGAGCAGACTTCATCCAAATTCTTATGGAAAAGTATTCTCTATTCACATGAGTCATGAGAATATCATTCAAGTTAAAGGCTGATGATGACAAAATCTGTCTGTTTGGTTTTTTTTTCAGGATTATGCTATTTGCAGAGGAACTGTGTCAAAGGTGCATCATCATGTAGTCCTGGCTATCTACCTCAATTAGGAATATAGGATTGGACAGGGTATTGGAACATTGTTTTCAGAAAGAGCTTGACTGTGGAAGGAACGCAGATTCTGGAAGAGACGTAGTCATGCCAGAGCTAGGCTGGTTCAACCTGAAGTTCAGAGAGATTTGTTCCTAAATGTGTATTAGATTCCTCTTAAATTAGACACAGCATCAGACATGCAAATTCCTGTGACAGTTGAAATGTGTTATCTGTGCTATGGCTTTGGGATATTTATGTGTCCTGGATGCAGCAGTGCATAAAAATAGCTATTACACTTCTAGACTGTGATGCCCAGCCATCATTCAAAAAAACAAACAAACAAAAAAAAACCAAACCAAAACAGAACAAAAAAAAAAAAAAAAAAAAAAACAAACCACCACCACCAACCAAACCCTGAAACCACCTAATTTTTCTCTTTCAAAACACCAGATCTGTGAAACTCAGAAGTCAATTCTTCTCTGCACAGGGACAGTAACCCCTGCTTCCTCTGACTAGAACCAGCTTTGGTTTTTCCCAGGGAGGGGAGGAAAGGAGGCTCTGTATAAGTATAGCCAGAAACACTAAACTCTCTCCTCTCAATATATTTAGACTGAGAACCATTCCATGAAGGGTGGGAGAAAGGAATGGAAAACTTTACTTCCACAAAGCTGTTAATGGTGGAACATTCATCTCTGAAGCATTTAACTTCCTCAATTTTTAGAAACATTCCAGAATTTCCATTTGAGTACTGGAATAAAATGAAAACCAAAGACAGCTGCCTGTAAGACAATTCTTCAATAAAAATATTCCATTTAAGAAAACTGAAAGGAGCCAGGTATCCAGACCAAAACAGAAAATTAATTTCCATATACTAAATAACTGTAGGTATGTTTTTCCAAGCTTGGAATAACTTGCCAGGCAAGCTGCTAATTGGCCTGATTTTTTTCAGAGCTGCTGGCAGGTCAGAATGTCTGAAAAACCAGACCCTAGTTATGTATATAAATATGGCTTTAGTTGCCTGGGAACACAAATGTTAAAGATTATCCTCAAATAGCACTTACTCTATATATACATAGGAAAGAAGCAACTGCTCCTAAGCTGTGGCATACCTGTCTGGCAGCAGTCACTACTTGTTGTTCATAGATGTCTAGGTTTCTGCCCATGAGCTCCAGCGCAGACTGTCGATCAACCAGGGCCGTTGGGTCTGGGCTGAGAATGGACTCGTGCTCATACACAGCAGCAACGTAATGTCCCTCCCTCTTAACTCCCCCTGAGACAACTTGAGAGGAAAAAAAGCAGAGCAACAGCCTCCAGCACACATCCGCCATCGTGTATGCCATAAATCTATAGGAAAAGAGAAAGGGAGGGGTGGGTAGACGGACCTTCGGCAACAAATTATGCCAGGGAAAACAAGATCAATTTTAAACTAATCCCATTTTAATTTTTGTTCATGTTATATTAAATGTAGTTTTGTACCTAAAAAAGAAAGTCTATGTCAGGTTAACTTAAAATCTCTCTTTTCTTGAATTCCAGAATGAAAAGCAGCTAATAAGCAATCCTTAATACTGCTGCTTTGGTTTGGTTTTTTTTGAGTAAACACCAACTGGTTTCGTATCTAACGGTGCACAAATGAAGCATAACAAGCTCTTCAGAAAGCATTTCATAAGAGGTGTCTTAGTTGGCGCCGCCTGTTGGCTTCCAAGAGCTCTACACACTATTCACTGGTTTGGCAGCCACGCAACCCCGTGTAGGACAGGAAAATCACAACCTCAGTGCCCATGGTAGGCAGAGGGCTTGTCGGATCAACCAGGAACTTATAATATGTAATAATACTTATCAGGGTTCAGGAGTAACTTAGTTATTAGATGCTGCTCAGTTCAGCTACATATTCTTATTTGCTTGAGCTTTAATTTGCCAGTGTCTGTATAGACATGGCTTCGAGGGTAAATTTAAGTTGCCTAAAGCACGATAAAAACAGAATACAGTCTTAGCATCTCTGTAACCAGTTGTGTTAAAGATACTCCATTTATATAAACAGTTCTGAGAAGTGATGTACAGTAAGCTACCATTGCTATTCTGCATTTGGAGGTAAAGAGTACCTCTGGGGTAGGGAGGTGATTTGGCAATGTATACCAAGAACAGAGGGTCCTGCTTCGTCCTGCGCAGCTCAGCTTTGCCAATGAAATACCAGGGCATGCATGGAGATACAAAGCAGCAGCAGGGGGAGGAGAGGAGAAGTGAGAACCCTCTCACAGTTAAGGAAGCCACTGAAAGTAAACATACTCTGTTGCACTTCACTGACAAAACTATCTTTTCTATTTCTGTCATCTCTTCAAAGCCAAAACGCCTATTTAGGACAGGAACGGGTTCTAGTCAGCCATTCCTCAACAAAGTTGCCAACAAAGATGTAATTAGAATTCATCATTATTAGCGATGGAAAAAAACAGAGCGTTTCAGATCACAGGACAGAATTGCTATGTGTAAGAAAAACAGCTTTTTGCCTTCCGTGCCAAACACAGCAACATTAAAAACTAACAGGCCATGGGTTAGTACAGAATGTTGTATTTTATAGACATGCTTGGAGAATTCTCATTTTTCTGCCACTATTTTTTGGTAGCCAAAAACAAAGTACTAACTTGAATCCCTTCCTTGTTCAGAGGCACTGAACATCCAGCTACACAATCCCATCTGGCTGAACACGGGCCAACAAAAACAATAGCTAAGCTAATTCCTCTGAGACCTTACCCTTGGCTGCGATTACTGCTGGTCCCACAGAGGATGGCTGATCCCTTACAGGAGTGCTCCCTAATGCCCTTCCCCTGTTGACAGCTTGAACAGGACCCTGCTACCTAATGGACTGCTCCTAACAAGGAGAGCTGTGACAAGCCCCAGGGCTTGGCTGGGGGAAAGTAACCTTCACAGCCAAAATAACAATACCATCAAGGTTTGCTCTGCCCTTAGGCTGGGAGACTCAGCCACATTCTGGGTGTTTTTCCCCTAACACAAAGTGTCACCATCATTATAAATCCTTTCCTTGAAAAGAGGTTAACTTGTTTAGGGTCTGCAGAACTGTGACCTCACCTGAACCACAACTTCAAAAGACATTTTCATGAACTGAAATGCTTTGTGACTGAATCTTTTGTTCTGCTCTTTTCCTGTGATTGATGTGGTCTTTTGCCTGGCAGATACACTTCAGTAGGACCATCTCACCCACATACATGCATTTCATAGCAGTATTGCTCTTATGCAGTCACAATATTCTAGTTACAGTTCTAGAGGAAAGGTTAAAAGATTGGTGTTTGAAGTTTGGATGCTGATTTAGACAAGATTTTTGCCCAGTCACAGTGTAGGCTGGTTTCCTATTATTTTTTTCAAAACCATCTAGTGAAGTAGAGCATCCAGTTTCAACAACTTTGGAAACTTAGAAGTTTGTCAACTTTCACCATACCTAGATGCACACACAGAGAAAAGCAATACATATCCTGCTCCTTAGTGCTTCTATACTTGGAAGAATCCAACAGGCTACCAAAACTAGGAGTAGCACTGCATTAGTGTGGGTCCTTTTAAGTGATTAATAGCAAATGCCCGTTAAGCTATAGTAACATAAACAGTAATAATTACTAGGCAAAATATTAAATTTGCCATGGAAAAATAATTAAAAGTCTCTTTTACATTGAGTCATCTCCATGAATTTTGATGTTGCTGCCATGCTAGTATATATAAACACAACAGCCACTACATAGATGTAAAGATACGGTGGAATTCAAGTTTTTTCCACTGATCTCTCCTGTCTACTGCCTTTATATGCAGCACTCTATTTTAATACACTATTTTACTATAAAAGTTTTTAAGTTTTTTTAGCAACACAATCATAACTCAATATAAACAGATATCTTGCATTTCCTTTTCTGAAAAAGTTTATTCTGTGTGCAATGCATTATATAACCTTGCTCTAGTTTCCTAGCTTTTATCCAGTGGCGCAATCTATTTTTAAAGAATGTTGCCCATTCTAAGATAAAGTTTTACAGTAAGTTTCAAGTAAGTGAGTGGGTCCAGAGAAGGGTGATGAAGCTGGTGAGGGGTCTAGGGAACATGTCTTACGAGGAGCAGCTGAGGGAACTGGGGTTGTTTAGTCTGGAGGAGACTGAGAAGAGACCTTATTGCTTTCTACAGCTGCCTGAAAGGAGGTTGTAGTGAGGTGGGTGTTGGTCTCTTTTTCTGAGTAACTAGCAATGGGACAAGAGGAAAGGGGCTTGAGTTGCACCAGTAGAGGTTTAGACTGGATATTAGGAAGAATTTCTTTACTGAAAATGGTGAGGCATTGGAACAGGCTGCCCAGGGAGGTGGTGGAGTCACCACCTCTAGAGGTGTTCAGAAAAACATGTAGACGTTGGTACTTCAGGCCATGGTTTAGTGGCCAGGGTAGTGCTGGGTTGATGGTTGGACTTGCTCTTAGATGTCTTTTCCAGTCTTAATGATTCTATGACATACATTTCACAGGACTTCTTATATTTGCTTTGCCTCATAATTAAAAAATCTATCTTCTCTAACAATGGTTGAGGATGAACTGAACACTGCCATTATTAGTGGTTCGACCTGACCAGCTCAAGACGGTAGCACAAAGAAGCGGAGGCAGGGACAGCACACATCGACAACAGTGTCACTTCCCGGACACAGCATGGGCAGAGCCAGGCAAAATGGGGTGCACCGTCCTTCAGGGGGGGTTTTGGAGAAGCGTCTCACACTACGCTCCCACCTCCCCTCATGAATGCTGGTGCCGGTTACCTTCAGCTCAAGATGACTGTCCTTTG